CAAAGAGGAAATTGACTTGGTGGTTAAGAGTTTGCCTTCAGATAAAGCCTCAGGACCTAATGGCTTTTAACACAGATTTTGTTAAAAGGTGCTGGCATATCTTTTGTAATGATTTCTACAATCTTTGTGACTCCTTATACTTGGGCAATGTTTGTATGCAGAGTCTGAATGGATCTCATATTGTTCTAGTGCCAAAAACTGACAATGCCATCAAAGTATCAGATTTCAGGCCCATTTCCCTCCTAAACACTTCCATCAAGATCATTACCAAGATTCATGCAAGTAGGCTTCAGCAGGTTATGCCCAGGCTCATCCACAAAAACCAGTATGGGTTCATTAAGGCAAGGTCCATTCAAGACTGCTTAGCTTTGTCTCTTGAATTCTTACATCTCTGTCATCAGTCCAGAAGGGAAATCATTATTCTAAAGCTAGATTTTGAGAAAGCCTTTGACAAAGTTGAGCATCAGCTTATGATACAAATCATGACAAACAAAGGATTCCCTGAACTTTGGATCAAATGGATGAAAATGATCTTCACCTCTGGAACCTCAGCAGCCCTACTAAATGGAGTTCTTGGCAAGGTTTTTCACTGTAAAAGGGGGGTGAGACAAGGAGATCCCTTATCCCCTCTTCTGTTTGTTCTTGCAGCTGACTTCTTGCAAAGTATTATGAACTCAGCTCAACAACAAGGGCTCCTCTCCCCACCTATGCCTCTCCCTCATGATCATGACTTCCCTATTTTGCATTACGCAGATGATACTTTGATTTTCATGCAAGGAGATGCAAGGCAACTCTTTTTCTTGATGGCAATACTCAATTCTTTTGCTGAATCAATAGGTCTTAAAGTTAACTATGCTAAATCCATGATGGTTCCTATTAATATAAATGAAGACAGGTTTAACCTCTTGGCTTAGACTTTTGGTTGCTCCAAAGGAACCCTACCCTTCACCTACCTTGGGCTACATTTGAGCTTAACCAAGCCCATTGTTGCTGACTTTTGGCCTTTGGTAAGTAAATGTGAAAGGAGGCTAACAAGTATCTCATCCTTTCTTAGTCAGGCTGAGAGATTACAGATGACAAATGCAGTTATTAGTGCTTTGCCTACCTTCACTATGTGCACCTTCCTTCTCCCTAAAACTATTATTAAGCAGATTGACAAATTCAAGAAGCATTGCCTATGGAGAGGCTCTGATCTGAATTCCAAGAAGCCCCACAAAGCTGCATGGAAAATTGTGATCATGCCTAAAGAAAATGGTGGCCTTGGTGCTTTAAATCTCTACACCCAGAATGAGAGTCTACTTTTAAAGCATCTCCACAAATTCTTCAATAAACTTGATATCCCCTAGGTGCAGCTAGTATGTGGCCGGCCCTATAGGCGCATATTCTAACATGCCCCCTACATACCGCGTAGTCGCATTGTCAGCCACTCTACACGTTCAGACTAGACCTGAACTCCGTGAACACCGAAGAGGGAAGTCCCTTAGTGAAGATGTCCGCATATTGTGAAGAGGTTGGAACATGCAGGACACAAAGATCAACTACAACTCGCTCCCAGACAAAGTGAAGATTGATCTCAATGTGTTTAGTGCACTGATGTTAAACTGGGTTGGAGGACATGTAAACTACACTGATGTTGTCACAAAACACCAGTGTGGCGCGCCGTAGAGGAATGTGTAGCTCCTGGAGAAGTTGACGCAGCTAGGTGGCCTCGGCCACTCCATTGGCCACCACGGGATACTCGGCTTCAGTGCTGGATCTTGACACCATGTTTTGACGCTTGGAAGACCAGGAGACGAGACTATTGCCAAGAAACACAGCATAGCCTGAGGTGGACTTGCGTGTGTTCGGACAACCAGCCCAATCAGCATCAGTGTAGACAACAAGATCAGTTGATGTAGATGGTCGCAGTAGGAGACCAAGGTGGAGAGTGCCTCGAATATACCGAAGGATCATCTTGAGAGCTGCGAGATGAGGCTCTCGGGGGTTATGCATATGAAGGCAAACTTGCTCTGGCTGGGTGAACGTCAAGTACTATAAGGCTTCAGCAAGACTGCAAAAATCTGAGTGCTGTAGAGTGCTACAACCACCTTAGGATTTGTGTCAACAGGAGTGGAACATGGCTTGCACTCTGCCATCCCTACGCGATCAAGAATATCCAGCATATACTACCGCTGAGAAAGGAGTCCATCACCACAACGCTGAACATGCATACTGAGGAAGTGATGCAATTCACCAAGGTCTTTCATGGTGAATTCCTGCTGGAGAGCTGAGATGATTCGGTGAAGGAGACTAGGTGAGGACAATATCATCAACATATAGCAACAGAAAAGGCAGTATCTGATCCACGTTGATAAACAAAGAGCAAGGTGTCCGACTTGGATACTGCTGGGCGACAAGGGCCTGCTGTTGTGGATGCAGCGGGATGGGCGCCAACGGAGGACGAAGACCCATCGGCCACATATGGATGGACCCCATCTAGAGGTTGTAGACGGTGGGCTAGTTCCTAGCACCGGTGGCGGGCTAGACGGCGCCAGCCTGCTACTGTTGTGGTGTACTGGCCGGGGGGTGCTAAGCCTGTCCTCTAGTGCTGCCACCACCACTACCGTACTTGCCACTACCGCTGCGCTTGCTATGACGGTTGGTGGAGGGCTTGGAGCCGCTAGCTCCCCCGAAGCCCATGACAGATGATGGTGGGGCGGAGCTTGGAGAGCTCGACGTGGTGGAGGCAATGAGCGTAGTGGCAGGGGTGTCCTTGCGGTTCTCTAGGGTGAATTCCTCAAGGATGAGGTCGTCACACGCCTCTAGGAAGGGAGGGAAGGGTCGACTACGATGAAGAAGGGCCCCGATGTGGCTAAAGTGCTCGTTGAGGCTGCGGATGACGTTGAGGATGAGGGTGCGGTCGATGATGACCTCGCCAAGAGCAGTGAGGTCATCAACCATCTTCTTGAGGCACCAATAGTAGTCGGTGATAGAGAGGTCGCTTTGAATGAAGTTGTGAAACCTTGTCTCCAAGTGGATGGATCACGCCTCCCGATTTCTGAGGAACCGGGACTCGACGGCGAGCTAGGCGTGCCGAGCGGTGGAACTCTGGGCGGCGATGACTTCGGCGAGATCGTTAGTGAGAGTTTCGATGATCCAGAACTTGACGACGCAGTCCATCCGAGCCCAGTCCGGGTAGACTGGGACCGGAGGGTTACAATAGACGTGATCTTGAAGAGAGAACTTGCCGAGGGTCAGCATGAATTGATCGTGCCAGCGGTTGAAGTTACCGGAGTCGACGTCGAGGATGATGGTGATGAGATTCCGGATGTTGGTGACGGCGACCGCCTGGGCATGCAGGTTAAGAAGCGCAATAGGCTCGTGAAGGAGCATGGCAGAGTGGAGGTCGGTGGAGGACGCCGGGGCAGCACGGGAGGATTCTGGGTCAGCTGAGGCGGTGGTCGCGCGCTCCTTGGCGGCGCGCGCCAGGGCCTCGTTGGCGCGCTGGGCAGCGGCATCGCGCTTCTTGGTGGCGGCCGTGGCTTCCACCTCAACTAGCACGCGCGCCAGAGCGGCATCGCAGCGCTGGGCGACGGCGGCCGCCGCGTCGGCCTTCTCCTTGGCAAGGCGCAGGGCAAGCTCGTCGGCCTAGACTATGGTGAGGGAGGCATTGGCGGAGGCAGCCGTGGCGTCGTCATCCTTGGGGGTAGGCGGAGAGGTGCCAGGCATGGCAGCGCTGCACGGCGAGGGTCCGCGCGCGAGCAAAGTAAACAGCGGAAGAATAGGATCTAGGCAGCTGATACCATGAAAGTGAATATGCACAGGGAAATAGTAGATTGATTGATAGAGTACAGGGAGGTACAATATATAGGCAAGGATCAAGTAGGGTTTATAGAACACACCCAATCAACGGAAATCCTTGTCTAATCTGTAATCATCTACCATAAGTCCCTAGAGGCAACCCAGCCACCAGGCGTGGGCGCCAAGGCCCATGTGGCCGGCCCTATAGGCGCATATTCTAACAGGTTTAATTAGTCCTATTTTTGTTGTCTAAGTTTGGGGCAAGCTTATAATAAGTACTATCGTAGCACGAGTGCCAAATTTTAGGCGATGGAGGGGACATGGTATGGAGATGGTACCAAGAGGCGATCTTTGGTATATGCGTGCCATAAATGTGATAAGCTATCGAGGGTGTTAACCATGAGGGAGCACAAAATGTAATCCTTGGCCCATAATATTCTATTTCCGTCCCCCTCGACCCATATGCTGTGTTTTGATGAAATTAGTCTCACCTTGGTTGTCTAAATAGGTTCATGTTAGCATATAAACATTCTCGTTCCAAATATAGAACCTTCTGAGTCAACTCTTTTACAAGAAATGACTGCTATGTATATGTGGGATCGTTCCTCTCATGAAAGTATATGCAGTAGACACAGTATGACACCGTTGGAAGCCTCAAATTGTAATATCAAGATTAAGATAAGATAAGATGGCTATTATTGTTAATAGAAAAAAATATTCTACCAAACATATTGCAATATGTTTCGCTTTTATTTTTTGGGTATTTCTAGAATTTATCTAATCTTCTTTTGAGTGGGTTAACATGAATGTTTCAAAAGCAGAGCCTTCGGTTGGTAGTAAAATACATTCCATCATTTTTTAAATATTTATTAAGTTTAAGACAAGCTAAGTAGTTCACAGTTTAACTACTTAGCTCGTTCTAAACATTATATATTTGAAAATGGGGGAGTAATACTAAGAGGCGTAGTAAGAAACAAAAGTGAGGTTTCCCTGAAGAAATTCTTGGTTAAATTAAACCTAAATGCTTATACATATGTAATATGACTTCGTTAGTTCGATCACATGTGTTTTTATGAATTTGTCCAAAGAATGGTTCGATCTGAAACTTTTTGTGGATTTGTCCCTTGTACTCACAGGCTTTAATTTGTTATGTATAACAATATTATACAAAATTGATTAAGTATAGTTGAGAAACCTGACACTAGTATGTACTTTCATTGATGCAGACTTCTGAAGTGTATAGTGAAAAAGTTACAGTTTTCACAATGCATGATCTGGTGCATGACTTGGCAATTTCACTCCTTGACAACAAACTTCTGGATAAGAGCAAACGAGAAAATAATTTGGGAAGAAGCAGCCATTACCAATATGCGTTGCTTGGAGATTGCAGCATGCCACTGTGGTTGAAAAGTGCAGCTGAGTTAATAGCACTGCGTTTTCTTGACTGTCGCAGCACTGAACTACACGGTGCTGCATTTGCACCTGCTAGGTCCCTGAGAGTATTGGATTTAAGCGAGTGTTGCAGCCCCAAGTTGCCAGATTCCATTGGTGAACTGAAGGAGTTAAGATATCTTAATGCTCCTGGGACCCAGGATCTACAGTTCCAGAATGTATCACAAAGCTTTCACATCTAATTTTCCTCAATCTTCATGGATCTGACATAGAAAAAATACCAGAGTCACTTGGAGAAATGAAAGATCTGATGCATCTCGATTTATCAGGCTGCAAAAGAATCTGGCAATTACCAGACTCATTCATGAGTCTAGAAAAACTGGTGCATTTGGATTTCTCCAATTGCTCTCTGATGTTAGGTGAATCAGAATCTTTGTGGAGCCTGAGCCGATTGGAGCATTTGAGTTTATCAGGGTGCACGATCAACGCAGACCTGGCTAAAGCACTATGCGGCCTCACGGAACTGCAATATTTGGATCTATCGCAAGTCCCTTGCTCGGGAAACCTCTGCAGAGGGCTACAACAAGTCTTGGTCACGTTCACTAAACTCAGGTTCTTGGATGTACGTGGAGTCCTCGACTGGAACGGAGTTGGCGGGGCTGAAACCGAGACTTTTATTGAGGCCATCAGCAGACTTTCCCGTCTAGAGTGTCTTTATATAGGTTGGAATGATTGTCTGCATAATATACCCGAATCCATTGGCAACCTCAGAAAGCTACGCACACTAGATCTCTCGCATTGCGTCAACCTGGAGAGGCTGCCAGCTGCCATATCTAGAATTGACAACATGAAGTTTCTAAATGTAGCTCGTTGCGACAGATTGGATAAGTCCACTCTACCTCTGTACAAGAATGTTGCAGTGTTGTTACCATATTTTGTGGTCCATGCTGGTGATAGTGAATCTAGCAGCAACCTATATCAGCTTGAATATGAAAATCCCACTAAAGTGGAGATGATCGGGCTTGAGAATGTGAAGTCCGCAGGAGAGGCGCAGAAAATAATGCTGGTGAAAAAGCATAGGATTAAAAAGCTGGGACTAGTATGGACTCGAGATGCAAAGAGATTTGTGGACGACGAGGATATTTTGAAACAACTAGTGCCACCATACAATGTAGGACAAATGAGACTGCAAGGTTATAATAGCGCAGGCTTTCCATCCTGGATGATGGACATTGCTACCTATCTTCCTCATCTCGTAGATGTTACCCTGGAGGACATGCCCAATTGCAGTAGCCTACCACCACTTGGTCAGTTACCAAACCTTGAAAAGCTGCGGATCAGACGAATGGATAGCATCAGGAAGATTGGCCAGGACCTGTACGGGGACGGGGGCTCGAAAAGAAGATCATTTCCTCGACTTCGGAGCTTTGAACTGCAGGAAATGAAATGCCTCGAGGAGTGGAACACGTCATGCTCATATCCCAGCAGTGGCGACGATGATTCGAAGGACCAAGCGTTCCCCAACCTAGAGGATTTGGTTATAGCAGACTGCCCCATGCTGAGATTCAAATCCTTGTTACCTCTAGCGGAGCAGACGTCTCTGGGTTGGAATAGGAACACGACCATAATCCGTAGTGGCCAAGTCATACCGTCGTCATGGAAGTGCAGTGCCGAATTCGATGCTTACTCCTCTGCAGCAACCACCTGCCTTCGGGTACAGCGCTGTGAAGCGCCTCTGCGTCAGTGGAGCTTGCTTCGCCACCTCCCTTGCCTCAAAGAATTACGCATTGAGGACTGCAGCGATCTCACATGCAGCTCAACAGATTTGCTTCGCTGTCTTCCCTCCCTCGAGGCTCTATATGTCAGAGATTGCAAAAGCATTGCTGCACTGCCAGAGAGGCTAGGAGACCTCACCTCTCTCAAGAAACTTAAGATACGTAATTGTGAAGGTGTCAAGGCTCTGCCAGAGAGCATACAACAACTCACCTGCCTCCAGTGCCTAAAAATTTATAGCTGCCCTCAGCTAGTTCAGTGGTGCAAATCGGAGGAGAATAAGATGAAGCTCGCTCACATCAAACAAATCGTACGTACTCTCCCAATCTTTCAATTATAATAATGTTCTCTATTTGAATGTTGACTACTCCTTTTATCATCTTATTAGTAATTCACGTCTATTCTACATTACATATCTTAGATGTTTTCTCTCTTGCAATGAAGAATGTTTTTTTCCTTCTTTTTCATCAGTAAAAATGTTTGTCCTGCTTCATTTACTAGTAACAAAAAGACATGATAGAATGACGGAATGATTTACAAGAGAAAACGTTTGGCCCTTTTTGTTGATATATAGACACACACACACACTAAGAAATTCCTATTTTCTAGTTTATGAAGGTTAAACTACCAGTCAGTTTCAACACAACAGGAAGAAGATAGAAGGTTTAACATTGATAGTAAAGTGATTAATCTATTATACAACACCAAAATGGCCTAGTTGCACATCTGCTTATTTTCTTTCAATGACTGGCTTTTCAGATAATAGATTATGTGCGGCTATGTGTGATCAGCATGCAGGAGTCAGATAGGGAAGTCGAGACAAAATTGCAGGTATGGTGCAAAACAGTTTCTAAAAAAAAAGTAACTTACTCATTTTATACTTTACTACAAGTTACTGGTTGCAAATAGCCCAATATAACATTTCTTTGTTCCACTAATTTTTTATGCAGCATGATATTGTGTGCTCTAAGTGAGAAAGTACAAGTACACCATTCGTATTAAATTATAAGTCATTTTGGTTTGTTACATAGCTTTTACTATAGACGTAGACATAGCACATTTCTAGGTTCATAGCAAAAAACTATATATGTTACTAGAAAAGCCAAAGTGCATAGTAACTAAACTCTAAACCGTAAATAATTTATTTGGAGGCCTCACGGAGCTTCTGCCTCCTCTTGACCAATCGCTGCAGCACGCGTGCCTCAATCTTGCCGTGGTAGCCTGCGAAATATTCTCATCCTCTTGGCCTCGTTGCCGCACACCTCCCTCGATCCTGCCGTAGCCTGCCCCTTCTGAATTTTTTTTTTGCATGCGTAGCCTGACGTCGCCGTTCGCTCCGGCCGCTCTACGTGCTGTGCTTGCAGCATCGTACTAATTTGAAGCTGGGTAATATTAAAGAAAATCAATGCGGAATTTATTCTCCTAATTCATAGAGAAGTATATATTGTGGAATTTATTCTCCTAATGCATAGCCTGACGTTTCGCTCTGGCCGCTCTATAATTTGAAGTTGGGCTCTGTTTAGTTCCCTCCCAAAACGTCAAATTTTTCAAGATTCTCCGTCACATCGAATACGAAAACGCATGCATAAAGCATTAAATATAAATAAAAAATAAAACTAATTACACAGTTTAGACGAAATTCACGAGACAAATCTTTTAAGCCTAATTAGACTATGATTGGACACTAATTGTCAAATAACAACGAAAACGCTACAGTGTCATTTTGCCATATTTTTCGCAATCTAAACTGGGCCTTGGGACTAGAAACACTAATGGACAAACATATTGTGGAATTTATTCTCCTAATTCATAGAGAAGTATATATGAAAAAAGGGCGACTTGGAGAAACCAGGATAATTTCACAACATTCTATTACAAAGATATGTGTTTTACTTGTATCCCTGTCATCAACAAGATCTCTTGTAGTGCACCAACCTGCAGAGCTTGCCAGATAGCATATATAGAATTGTTAGTTTGAAGTATCCACGCTTATCTGGTTGCTCGAGTTTGGATATGTCCTGTACCTCAGTACAAGAATGAGGCAATCCTTTTACCAAATTTTGTGGTCCATGCTGCTGACGGTGAAGCTATTAGTAATATTTATCAGCTAGAATATGAAAATCCTACTAACTTTGTGATTTGCAGGCTTGAAAAAGTGAAGTCTGCAGAAGATGCCCAGAGAATAAAGCAGGTGGAATGCCTAGAGGAAGAGGTGTGGAAAACACGTCCCAGTGATGAGGATGGTTCGAATGAGCTCGTGTCAATACAAGGCTGCGTACCTGTGCTAGTTAAGCACATGATCATATACACAGTAGCGATGAAGTAATATCATCGTCAGGGGAGTGCAGAGGCCACGTCGATGCTTCCTCCTCTGCGGCAACCACCTGGCTTTGTGTAAAGCTCTGTGAGCCTGTCACGCGCCTCTGCATTAGTGGATTGTTAACTGCAATAATCTCACATTCAGCTCAACAGAGATTTGTTGCACTCCCCTCCCTCGAGAAGCTTTATGTAAAAGAGTGCAAAAGCATTGCTGCACTTCCAGACAGACCGGGATACCTAGCCTCTCTCAACTCTTAGGCCTTGGATGTATATGTATCAACTTCAATCCACATGTGTAGTGGAATGGAATAGAATTTAGTTTAATTCCACTCCAATCCACTTGAACATATGTGGATTGAGATGAATACATGCGCATCCAAACAAGGCCTTAAGAAACTTAAGATCAGTAATTGGTGAAGGTATCAAGGCTCTACCACAGACTGTATAACAACTGACATGCTGGTTATAAAAAAAATGACATGCTTCCAACGCCTAAAAGTTAATGACTGCCTCGAGCTAGTTCACTGGTGCAAATCAGAGAGAATAAGATGAAGCTTGCTCACATAAAAAAAATTGTACCTACTCTGCCAATCCATCTATTGTAATGATCTTTATTTGCATTCCCTACTCTTTTATCATCTTATCGCTATATATGGGATCTAGTCTCCATTGCATATCTTAGAGGTTTTCACATGCGTACCCACCATCAATGTTTATAAATATATAAGTATCATAAACACAATATTTTCCCACGGTTAAGTGAGGGTTACATGCATCATTTGCTTTATTATATAATATTTATTAGAATTCCTCGGATAAGATAGAATGATGTAATAATTTAACATGCGAAAATAATTTGGCTTTTTGTTAAAATGTGTTCTTTTTTGTTTATGGATGTTAACTTATCAATCGATTTCAACACGTAGTAATGAGATATAAAACTATTATACAACACCAAAATTGGGCCATGTACATCAACTTATTTTCTTTCAATGGCTGCCTTTTTAGACATTAGATTATGAGGAGTTAAGTGTGATGATCAGGAGTCGGACCATGAAGTGGAGGAAAAAAATTGGAGGTACGGTGCAAAAGAGTTTCCAAAATTAGTGGCAACTGTACTCATTTTACGAGACGTTGGTACACATTAGAACATTGCTAGCTAGTTGTAAATAACGAGTACTTCCCTGTTTCACTAATTTCATCTGTAGCACGTAATGTACATTATAAGAAGTTATTAGTTCTACAAGGACACTTGCAACAGTACGATATAGTTACTAGCTCTAAGACAAGTAGACAACCTCTCTAATATTAACTTGTAGCACATATAATAACTCATAATATGAATGGCCTCACATGAGAACCTCATATTATTTTTGACGTGTGTGCATAAGACTAGTTGTTGATAAAAAAAAATAGTTTATGTCTCTCTTCTATTAATATATGAAATAATATATTACAGTAAGCTCATAAGTTATCATTGGAAAGGAAACCCACCACATAATCATCAACATATCGAGAAGTAGAAATATTAATGGTCAAATATTGCAAAATATATTCAGCTTGGAACACAGACAAATCTTATATATACTATCCCTGTCCAAATTAAATCAACTTTTAGAGTTGTCTAAGTCAAAATATTTTAAGTTTGACCAAAACTATAGAAAATAATAACAATGTTTATGGCATTAAATTAGTATCATTACATACATCATGAAATATATTTTCATAATATACTTATTTGGTGTCCTACATGTTACTACCCTTTGCTATAAAATTGGTTAAACTTAAGATATTTTGACTTTGGGTGATTTTAAGAATCGGTTTATTTTATGATGGAGGGAGAATATTGTTTGGTTTAATTCACTTCAGGCGATGGGATGAGAAATCATTTTAGATGGTTTTTACACTACAAGAAAGCAAGACTATGACTTAGTTACGAGCATGAGTCATGAGCTAGAGCACCACCGGCGCCAAGTGCGGAGCTAGGCCCTTGTTTAATTCCTCCAAACTCCTGAAAATGCACTATGCAAAAAGAAGATTCCCCGTCACATCAAACTTGCGGTACATGCATGGAGTACTAAATGTAGACGAAATCAAAAACTAATTGCACAGTTTGCTTTAACTTTGCGAGACGAATCTTTTGAGCCTAATTAGTCAATGTTTGAACAATAATTCACAAATACAAATGAAATGCTACAGTAGGGAATCTTCACTTAAACACCCCCTAGAGTAAAATAGAGAAGGAAAGAGGACAGCCTGCATAGGCCCAAGAGCAAGGCCAAAGCCCATTAACATTCTTATTTCTCTATATTCCTACTTATTGCTGCAGCCGAACATGTCCAAGAAGAACGAGAAAAGCCGCAGCAGCAGCTTATTTCCGATAATGAAAACCTTGCCTCCAGATCTCCCCTGTCAAGTCTCCACGGCTCCAGGCCAACTCTATGTCTTAGCTCTTAAGATTTTTTTTTCAAGGTGTCATAATCATAAAAGTTTCTACGTTCAAACTTGCACAAATTACAATGTAAAATAATACTCGAAAGAGAATTAAACTCGCAGCGACCTCTTGAGGAAACACACATCTTATTGGGTTAAAAATAGAAAAAAAAAGAAAACAAAACATACACTCATCAATCGCCCTTTAAATTAGCAAAAATCTGTTTAAATTAGCAAAAATGGCCCATACCACTAGCCTACCAACACAATACCGGTTATTATAGTTGCAAATTTATTTATGTAAAGTATGATAAGTAATTGATGAATGGGTGATAGTCTATCCTAAAAGGTATGCGTTGGACCATGCGTCCACACAGCATATCCTATGGGTCCGCCCCCGAGCTCCTGCAGTCACTAGAGGGTGAGTGACCGACGTACATCTGGGAAAGTGGGCTCACCGGTCACGACGGCTAGTGGAGCAAGGTTTAGCACTTTGAAAAACAAAATGGGATGATCCTGCGCTCATTTCAGGTAGTAACAAAAAAATGTATATTCAGTCTGTAATTGCTGACGATTCAGCTTTGTGTGAGTAGTGGAAATCCATATTTCCCCTTAAAAAAATGTATAATCTCTGTAACGTGATTTCCAAATAATGTGCAATAGGTAGGCCTGGATCCTAAATATGTTACTACTATCGCAAGATTATAATTTGGATTAGAACTCATCTAAGAAAATAATTTTGTTTAAAGCATAAATCAAATATGGCCGTCCAACTAGTGTCACGCAGAGGTTAAATGACACAAGCTTATGTCCCATTTGGAATTTGGAGTTCTTGGCAATGTTCCAGCAGGGATTGAACCAGTTTAATGAAGCTCATGCATTCGAAATGCATGATACCTTGAATTGTCATTATAGATCTACGTAGTGGACTTTTGATTTTCTTGTGTGCATGCGCAGTGTTACTCTTGAGCAGGCATCCAAATTTCACGGTAGAAAAAGGAAGAAAAAAAGATTGGAGTCATCACGTTGCTTGGTGCCACTACGTCAAAAAGGGTTTTTAGAGGCGGTTGAAGATCATTTGTAAGGGCGGTTTGACCAGCCGCCCCTACCGAACCGTCTCTACAAATCATGCATTTGTAGGGGCGGCTCGTATTAACAGCCGGCCCTACAAACATGTATTTGTAATTCAAAATCGCGTTGCCGAACATCCCACGACCTATGTTCCGAACCGTGTTCGCGTTGCCGAACGCCCCGCAACCAACGTTCCGAACCACGTTCGTGTTGCCGAACGCCCCGCGACCAACGTTTCGAACCGCGTTCGCGTTGCCGAACGCCCCGCGACCGTGACTACAAGCATAAGAGTATTCTATAAACTACAATTACAAGTCCAATTCACAAGAATATATACAATCTATCATTAAATATACAAATTCCATACACATTATTATCAACGTCTTAGAGCTAGCCTTTCAGTCTCACGAAGGTGTTGGTACTGAGGATTTGGACCTAACTCAGACTCTCGGTCATGGTAGGCGCCTCTGACGTGTACAATCTGGTCCAATATGAAGTTGCAAAAGTCGCCGACGAGCTCTAAGAGTTGGTCATCCTTGTATGGGTCTCTTTTCATTCCTTTCTCTTCTCTCCACTACAAGAGAACAAGTTTCGGTTTAGTATTTCATACCATGTACGAAGTTTTTATACTACGGGTGAAGATGTTCAAACTTACCCTTAAGGGGTGTCTCCTGTAGGCACCGGTGTTACTCATCATAGAACATATATAGTATCCACAATGTACACTCCCAGGCTTCTGCTTGGGGCACTGTGTGTTTTGCATATGAAAATGTTAAGTAATGCTTTTGACAACCATGTAACGGAGTACTGAAGAAGTAAGTTACACTTACCGCACATAGTATTTTTATAGCCAGCTTTTCCTTCCTTGCTAGATCATGCCTTCCATGATAATTAGTGACATAGAACCTAAATGCCCTGTTTAAATTATTTTAGCAAATACAACTTGTTAGTATCCAAAAGTGAACGTTACAAGTATGTATACAAACATATAAGCTAATGAGGATTGTCGATATGTATACGTCTTGAGAATCAATATGAAGTCTTTGTATGTCACCGTGTCCCTATCTAATAAATCAAAGACCCATGCCATGCACCTCCCAACATCGACCGCTATACAAATCCAGTGGTTGCTGCATGGATTTAATCATAGAACTAGATAAGCTCTTTTGCATCGAATAAAATATATCGAACAAAGCTTTAAGTATAGAGTTGAACTTACTCGAAGTTGTATGGTAGCCATATAGTAGAGTGTTGTTGGAGATTTTTGAAAGCCAGGGCAATATATGCCGCAACCTTAAGGGACTCTTCCCTTAGTTTCGCTGTACGGATGCGCTCTTTCTCCCGAAGAGTCTTTGCAGCAGCTAGCTCTTTGGCATCCAGTGTCCACCATTTAGGGTAATTAAAATTTGTTTGGGCTATAGCTTGAGGGTCTACACATCCGGCTTTCACACTTGGCATTTGTTTGACAATGTGCACTTGCATTGTACAAATCACGGCATGTGT